TGTTGAACTGACTGTCCCATATTAAGAAAGATATTGAGGAACTGGCCAGCCACCAAAAATAAGAAAAAAAGGAAAAAAATTTTTCCTTCAAATTTGGGGAATTTGTAACCATTATTCTTTTCTATTCCAATCTCTCTTTTCCTTCTGGGACTCTGGGGGTGTGGGGAGTGTGTGTGTGCGTATCATCCCACAGGTCCTTGATGCTCTTCATTTTTCTTCAATCTTTTTGTCCTTCAGATTGGATAATTTTTATTGTTCTTTCTTCATACTCTCTGATTCTTTCTTTGGGCATCTTCAGTCTACCACTGGAGCTATCCATTGAGGTATCAATTACAGGCAGATTGCATTTTTTAGTTGTAGAATTTTTTTTCCAGTTTCTATTTCTCTGTTAAGATTTATTATCTGTTTATTCATTTAGCCCATATTTGCTTTCTATTCTTTGAATATGTTTCCTTTAGGTCTTTGAATATGTTTATAATAGCTATTTTAAAATGTTTTTGTGCTTAATTGGTCATCTCAGGGTTGGTTTCAGTTGCCTAAGGGTCACACTGTCCTGTTTCTGTCTAGTAACTTTTTATTGTGTATTTGTCATTATTGATATGTTTTAGAGACTAGATTTTATTAGCTTTTGCTGAAGAAGTTTCATGTTGTAGCAGACATTTTCATGGTTGATCATCTTAAGCTTGTGTAGACTTAATTTTTCACTTTGCTAAGATGGATCTGTGGAAATCCTAAGGTGTTTACCAATCCCCTTTAATTTGGCAGGACTCAGTCTTCAGACCTGCTTTGTCTGTTGTCTTAGTCCGTTTTGTGTTGCTATAACAGAATACCTGAGACTGGGTAATTTATAAAGAAAATGAAATTTGAAGCATGAACCCAGTTAGGGAAAGATTGGGACCTTTGAATAAAGGGAAGGTAACAAAATAATTTTCAGCATCCACGGGTACAATGATTCACAAAGATATTAGGATCTTGAAAATCAACACATGATTTAAAAATGGAAGCCTTGTACTAAATAAAAATTATCAGAGATCATTGTTTTAAACTAAGTTCCTACACTAGGCCCCAACAGACCAGACTAAAATATCAAAATAGAGTCACTCCTGCTAAGTTCTGCTCCACTTAGATTGTGGTCTTACCTTCCAAGAAATCAGAAGAAAGAGATAACAGCCAATTTCCCAAACAGCCCAGTTAAAATCTTTAGTAGGTATGATAATAAAGTTCCTTCTTCCTTACACAAAAGAGATAGCCTGAAGTAAGTTGAGTGAACAGTCAGTTATCTTTCTATTATTCTGGTTTTTTGTCCCCACTTTCCAAGGAAAGTGACTTCCAAATGACCAACGTGCTTTTTGTTTTTTGTTTCTTTCTTCAGCCTTTTTCTGTCTATAAAATCAACCCCTTCTGCTTGATTCATTGCAACACGTATTCTATTTTATTTTATGGAATAACGTGTTGCCTCATTCTAGAATTGCAACAAAGCCAATTGAGATCTTTAACTAAATTTGTTGTAATTTTGTTCTTTGACACCTGTCTCTGAGATCTAACCTCAGGATCACAGACTACTCCATTGGACTTCTTTGAATCTTAGATAACTCTAAAGTGTTTTTGACAACCTGTCTGGGAGACAACAGCCATATGTCTCACATTTTCCTCAGGAAAAACAGTGAAAGGGACACATATGAAGGCCAGAAGCAAACACAATTGATTTCCTATTGAACCCTCAGGAATTTGGTGATAATAAGAATTTTTGTAAAGCTTAAAAAGTCTAGAACATTACTGCAGTCCATAAGAAACTAGGCAGAGGAAAGAATGGAATTTGGAATGGGGTTAGGCAACCTGAGTTATATCCCTAGATAGGCCCCTGACTCACTGTGTGATAATGCCCAGTCACTTCTTGACTAAGTGTTCCAGTCTCTGCCGCCCCCCGTCCCACCCAAGTAGAATAAAATAATGATTTCATTCTTTTTTAGGAGCGTTAAGCATGATTGTTTCTATAAAGCAATCTAGAAAATAGCCAATCTCTTAGTGTAGCAATGTAAGATGATTTTGTTCATTTTATAACCAGTGTAACCTCCTGGGTGGCACATAAAACCATGAGGACTGTAAACTTCTTGTTCGTTGTTGGGATCCTCAGATGGGGATGAAATAAATAGGTGCTCCGCTTTCCTCTTCTCTTGTGTCTTCTGTCTGGGATGACACTGTTGTGTCGCTAACAGAGGGCCCTGGAGAAGATATTTGGGAGATAACTGGGTAACACCCAACTAGGTCAGGGAATGAGTCAGGGCTCAAGGACTCGATACCAACCTCTCCCACTGCCAGGAAACTTCTGGGGTGAGACAGATGAGAGAGGAGCCGAGGGGCGGGCCTCACAGCTGCCTGCCTTGGGGCCTCTGGCTTGTGGTTTCACCCTGGTTTGCCCTGCAGCTGTAACGTGTCTACTGACACGCAGGCCCTGGACGAGCTGTCCCTCCGCCTTTCCCAAACTTCTGCTCAGTCTCAGAAACAGATGGTGCATTCCACCCCAGAGGTGAACGTAGGAGAAATGAGAGGAAGAGTTGGGACCAGCCTGTGGCTCACTCGGGAGAGTGCGGTGCTGATAACACCAAGGCCACGGGTTTGGATCCCATATAGGGATGGCCGGTTTGCTCACTGGCTGAGCGTGGTGTTGACAACACCAAGTCAAGGGTTAAGATCCCGTTACCGGTCATCTATTAAAAAAAAAAGAGTGAACAGAGCTAGGTGGAGATGCAGCACTATCAGAAACAGAGGAGACTTTTGTCTAGGAGGTGAGTGGGAAGTAGAAAGTAAACTCACCTGCATGGAAACCAGGATAAGCAAAGGGCAGAAGAGTGACATGGCCAGGCTGAGGCAGGGATTGAACACAGCTAAGGGACAGGGCTGAGGAGTACCCACCAGCTCTCGACTGGACACGTGCAAGACTCTAGAGCAAGATGGCCAATAGTCACGTTTCTTGTTTGGAGGTACTATGCTTCTGCAAATTCATTTCTCTTTCCTCAACACCTCAATTCCCAGTTTTTGGCAGGTCTTAGAACTCTCCTCCATCACAAAAACAGTTTTAGGGACGTACAGTCTACCAGTCACGTTTTCATATGATTTTACTTAGTGTTCACAACTTAGCTCTATGAGGTAAGTCTTATTAACCCCATCTCACAGATGGGTACAGTGAGATGCAGAGGATTTAAGTAATTTGTTCACTGAGTTTAGAAATAGTAGAGCACGGGCCGGCCAGGTGGCACACTGCTACAGTGCACCGCTTGGGAGTGCGGTGGCGCTCCCGCCGAGGGTTCGGATCCCACATACAGACTGGTTCCCGCTCACTGGCTGAGCGAGGTGTGGGAGCGACACCGAGGGTTGCAATCCCGTTGCCGGTCCCGGTCCGGTACGGGCGCGACACTGAGGGTTGCGATCCGTTGCCGGACACAAAAAAAGACAAAAAAAAAAAAAAATAGTAGAGCAAGATCTATACCAGTTGCCAGAGCCCCCATGGATTCCATTATACCAAGCTGCCTATGATTTGAAGTCAAATCAAATCAAAATGATGCCAAAACAATAGACACTTCTTAAGCCTTCCAAAGAGCAGTAAGGAGCAGACCAGGTAATGAGCAATGAAAGGAGATCTCTGAATCTCTCAACGTAAGTACAGTACTTAAAAATCCTGGAATTGTTGGATTTGTGCAGGCCTCCCCGCAATGAGATCCCAGTGCAGCCTTGGTACCCTCTAGTGGAAGTTTCCTGCATTCGCACAGTTTGCCTGGCTTCAGCCCCAAAGAGCTCACCCATCCACTGGAGAGCATCTTAAAGAAATGGTCAGCTGGAAGATATGTTTGCATGTCAGGGTCCATGGGAGGTGGGGAAGGAATACAGACTAGAGAGAATGTGTACCAAGCACTTGGTTCACAAGGGGCCCCCAAAAGAGTCATTGTTAGTACATAAAAGAGCTCAAGCCTTTGTGCATTATTAGTAGGAGATCAATACACGTGGCATGGGACAATGGGCTTTTTGGGCTCTAGAGAGACTTTTTTCATTTTTTTGGTGGCTGGCCACCATGGGGATCCAAACCCTTGACCCTGGGGTTATCAGTACTATGCTCTAACCAACTGAGCTAAAAAGCCAGCCCGTTTCTTGTTTTTTTTTTTTTTTTAAATTGGGAGGCCGGTTGGTTAGCTCAACTGGTTAGAGCATAGTGTTATAACACCAAGGTCAAGGGTTTGGATCCCTATAGATGCGCCCCCCAAATAAATAAATAAATGGTGAAAATTAATGATCAGAGATCAAAGTGACTTGCCCAAGGCAAATCAATGTTAGCAGTGATGGGACTAGAACCCATGTTGCCTGCCTCCCAATCCAGACCTCTTTCCACTATGTCACACTTCCTTATTTGTTGGTTGACTGATTATTGATTTTAGCCATAAGTTGGTGTGCAAAGCCAGCCCGTTTTTTTTTTTTTTTTTTTTTTTTAAATTGGGAGGCCGGTTGGTTAGCTCAACTGGTTAGAGCATAGTGTTATAACACCAAGGTCAAGGGTTTGGATCCCTATAGATGCGCCCCCCAAATAAATAAATAAATGGTGAAAATTAATGATCAGAGATCAAAGTGACTTGCCCAAGGCAAATCAATGTTAGCAGTGATGGGACTAGAACCCATGTTGCCTGCCTCCCAATCCAGACCTCTTTCCACTATGTCACACTTCCTTATTTGTTGGTTGACTGATTATTGATTTTAGCCATAAGTTGGTGTGCATATAAGAACATGAGGGCGCTCACTTCAGCAGCACATACACTAAAATTGGAATGATAAACAGAAGATTAGCATGGCTCCTGTGCAAGGATGACATGCAAATTTGTGAAGTGGTCTGTATTAAAAACAAACAAACAAACCCCATGAGGGTTGTAGGTATAACCAGGGAATTGTTTTTGGCTTCATCTGCACGCAATCCACACTCATTCTTTCCTTTCTTTTTGTTTCTGTTTTTTGGCAGCTGGCTGGTACGGGAACCGAACCCTTGACCTTGGTGTTATCAGCTCCATGCTCTAACCAACTGAGCTAACTGGCCAGCCCTTATTCTTTCATTTAACACATTTATTGAGTGCCTATTATTACTACACTACTCTAGGCATTGCTTTTCAAGTTTGTGGACCATTTTACAGGGTACCCCAGCATATGAAAAGGGGTTCCCAAGCTGGAACCCCTTGCCTACAGCTCTCCAGGGCAGTCCTGGAGATTCTTCCCCAAGTTCCCAGTGCCAAGGTGTTAGATTTATTTCTATCTCCCTCCCCCTGCAGAGATAATCCCTGGGAATGGAAGTGGGTTAGAAACAGATTACTCTGATCCAAAGGCTTTGCTCTCTCCTCCCTAAACATGGTGTGTGGGAGGGAGGGGGGAGCCACAAATAGCCTGAAATTCACTTTTAGGATTATTGCTTCACTTAGCCAGCTGGGGCGAAAGTGGAGCAAGAAGAGGCAAAGGATTAATTCTAGACTTAGCTTGAACAGCGGGATGCATGGGCTTCTTTTCCAGTTAAGCCATGATGAGCAGTATCTCTTCCTAAACATACCTTTAGAGTAAGGAATCTAGGGCAGGCAGAAAGGGAAAGGGAAAGGCTTTGTCCCCAGTAGCAGGGGTGAGTAGAAGGATGGATGAGTAAGAGCATGGGCTTCTTTTCCAGTTAAGCCATGATGAGCAGTATCTCTTCCTAAACATACCTTTAGAATAAGGAATCTAGGGCAGGCAGAAAGGGAAAGGGAAAGGCTTTGTCCCCAGTAGCAGGGGTGAGTAGAAGGATGGATGAGTAAGAGGAGCAGCTAAGAGAAGAAAGTCATGCAGCACAGGAATAAGGAATCACTTTGGGGCTTGGACACTACCTGTACTTTGGTGGTCTTAGCTTCAACAGAGGTGAGAACTGCTCTCTAGAGGAAGAGAGCTAACATACAGGGCTTCCTGAGGATTTCCAGTTCATATCCCGGTTTGGAGCTCTCTTGCTTTTGGGACACTACAGTGGGGTGGATTCTGGGGGCAGGGGTATTATTTGTGTCCAGCACAAAGAACACTTACACTTACCAGGATTCTGTTAGGTTCAGCATATGCCTTCCAGAGCTATCATTGGGCATGGAAGCAGTGGCCATATGAACCATAGTGGGATCATATAGTAACTCATTTAATGAGTTAATAACAATTAATTACCCGGTTCCTATAAGGTGAGAAAAAGATCCAGAACTAAGATATAAACTCAAGAACTATAGCATGCTTTTTTTTTTTTTTTTTGATACCTGGACTTTGTTGTTATCATCACCATGCTCTAACCAACTGAGCTTACCAGCCAGCACCTACAGCATTCTTTTTTGTGTGTGTGACCTGTAAAGGGATCGCAACCCTCGGCACGGTGTGGTCCACACCATGCTCAGCCAGTGAGCTCACCGGCCATCCCTATATAGGATCCGAACCCACGGCCTCAGCGCTACCAGCGCCGCACTCTCCGGAGTGAGCCACAGGGCCGGCCCTCTATTTTTTTTTTTGCAGCTGGGTGGATATGGGGATCAAACCCTTAACCTTGGTGTTATCAGCAGTGTGTTCTAACCACCCTATAGCATTCTTAACCACTATATGACACTCATAAATAGTCAACTCAGAGTGACAAAGAAGCCCTGCTAACATTGTTAGCTAAAGGTCAGTTGAGAATGTTTCTTAGAAAATCTGGATTCTTGTTCCTTCAATGGTATCTCAGACAATGGAATCTCAGACAATTCACTTCTTTTGATCTTCATGCTTTCACTTTAGGGACGAGAAGTACAATTTAAACACATGGGAAGACTATTACTTGCTTCATTCCAAGTATATCATTTAGAATTGGATTCTTCCAGTTCTCTGGAAGAATTTTCCTTGTTCAAATCAGCTGTGCTTCTCCTAGAATGTGGATTACTAGGCAGAATTTCAGAAGCTCCAATCTTTGATGTCATCTGCCACCAGGAGGGGAAAAAAATGCCCCTTTGCTTGCAGGGAGTCCCTCTTTGGGCTCTGTTTAGAAGTTTCAATAGGACAACAAGGCGTTCCAGGAACCCCTGTATTTGGAGAAACAGGAAATCAACTTTGCCTTCCACCTCATCCTATTTCATTTGGGATTCTCCTCATCTATTTATTGAATAAATAAATATTTGAGTGTCTACTATGTGCAGGACTGTTCTTTGCAAGGCCAAACCCCTAACCGTCTATTTCTTCTTCTAATTGCAAGTGAATTCCCTTCTCTTGCTCCCATCATCAGGGCAAGATGTTTCTTTTCTTTTCTCTTTTTTTTAAAAAGATGACTGGTAAGGGGATCTTAACCCTTGACTTGATGGTGTCAGCACCACGCTCTCCCAAGTGAGCTAACCGGCCATCCCTATATAGGGATCCGAACTCGTGGCCTTGGTGTTATCAGCACCACACTCTCCCAAGAGAGCCACAGGCCGGACCAGGGCAAGATCTTTCTATCTTGCTTTTTCCGAAATGTGAACTACTAGGGTTTTAGGATTAAAAAGTTTCCTTTTAGTGTTACTTCCCCAGCAGACAGCTCCCAATTTTCCACGGACTTAATGAGGTCGGAGGATAACCTGAATTTTCCAAAACAGCAGCTAATCAAACAACAACAACAAAACCCACTTATAGTTCATCTCAGCTTGAGTTAAATGATAGTGACCTTGATTATTTAATCTGGAGTGACACATAACAAGCTTGCATTACCTGAGAAACTGGTCAGAGGGCACGCAGACATGATCTAGGATGTGTTGGCTTCTGTGTGAGGCCAACGTAAAACTTAACAGTGGAGCAGATAATCCCAGATAGACAATGTCCATGCTCTGTATACATTGTTCTGTATTAATCAATAACCACTTATCCACGAAGTGAGGTTTCCTCGCTTCAGTTGGGGATATCAGTTAAAAGAAACTTATGTTTTATTTTCTAGGGAATAAAGTGGATGGACAGGAGTATGTTAATTAATTAATTAGATCTCTTTCTTCCTTGGCGGCTGGCCGGTACCGGGATCCAAACCGTTGACCGCGCTCTAACCAGCTGAGCTAACCTGCCAGCCACCGATATTAAACCTTGACTCTTTTCCGAAATGACAAATCAGAAATATTTTCGTCGATACACACGTCTCTTGCGTTAGTAGCACAGTAGTCCATTCTCTTAATTTGCTCAGCTGGTTAGAGCACGGGATTTGAACACTAACGTCAAGGGTTAGGATCGCCAAACCGGCCAGCTGCCAAAACAAACAAACAAAACCCCCCAAATCCCCCTAATTTGACAGTGAGAAAGAATTTTCTTCACACGGTACAGGTAATGAAAAACTAAGGCTCAGATTTAAGGTTACCCAGCATAATGAGGTCTGATACAGACCCAGAAACGACTCATTTTCGCTCTTTCTGGGATCCAAGTATCTTCAACGTACTTGAAGAAGAACCCATTAAATAAAAACACTTGTATCAGAGCTTTATGACTTCAGAGGGAAACACCTTTCCATTTTTTTACCAAACGGAAATATGGTGCAGCCATGCGCTAAGCGTACAGGAACGCAGCAGCCTCCCGCCGTCAGAAAGCCTCAGGCGCAGGCGCAGCTCGCGCCCAAGCGCTCTCCGGCCGGCGCGTGACAGCCGTGCGTTCCGCCCGACCCCCAACGTCGTCTCACTGCGCACGCGCAACCGTCCTCCACCCTCCCTACCTCCACGAGCACGTGCGCGTCCGCGCTGCTCACAACCGAGGGCGCGCGCCCTGGAAAATTCCACTTCATCCTAAGCTCCACCCTTTGCGCAGTCTGTCCTACCACACGCTCCTCACGCTCAGCCCTCATCCCAGCGGCCATTGCGTGAGCAAAATGGCAGCCCCCATGTCTCGGGGCTTGTCTTGCTTATCCAGGGCTTTGGGATGGTGGTTACGGCAGGTGGGTCGTGAAGAGCGAATAGGACTCTAGGGGCTGGAGGAAGAGGACATAGTAGAGGGGAATACTTGATGCCGTTGTATTTGATGAGCTTGGACGATACGAGTCAGACCTAGGCTGGAGAAGAGTTTGAGGTGGACGGGATCCAGCTAGAGACCGGGCGGGACCGTGTGGGCTAGCGAGTTGCTGGGGATTAAGTGTCTCCAGTTTGGTTTGAGTCTCTTTGGCGGGGAAATGTTAAAAGGAAAGATGTAATGGCTAGGAAGGTGGACTTGCTTCTGATACTTATAAATGTCCTAAATTGAACAGTAACTGGAAAGGAGGGAGTCCTGTACTGTCACTGTCTCTGCCTGATCAAACCTCATGATCAGAGAGAAAAGGTATCCTGGCCCTTAAAGAGCTTATTTGTCAGTTCGAAGCTAGAACGACAGAATAAAGTTTACAGCGAGACTCGCGATAGAATGAGCAAAATGTAAGCTCCGTAAATGTGGAAGAGATGCCAAGAAGAGGACTTTGTTTATGCTTTAATAGTAGCATTCTGCTCATTTCAGTGTTAGGTTGATGTTTGCGTACCGTCAAAGTTCTGTGAAAGTGAAAGCCTTGCTTTAATCAACTCTGCATCCTTAGGAGTTAGCGTAGTCCTGTACTATGGAAAGTACTAAAGGAAAGCCTTTAGTAAATGTTGAGTGATAGTAATAAAAGTTGCTAACTGGCTTCTAGTAAGAGACACACTTAGTGTTTAGGTAGTAATGCGTTTTTCTCTGTGATAATCGTTTTATAATTGTTCCTGAAGCATTATTTGAATATGCCCTTTCTATAGGGCTTTGCTTAGAGTTTGTTCAAGAAAGATTTTTTCTTCCAGGTTACCTATATCCTAACCTTTTTCTTACCTTCCAGCCAGTCCTGGTAACTCAGTCCACAGCTGTAGTTCCAGTAAGAACTAAAAAACGTTTCAGACCCCCTATTTATGAACCCAAATACAAAACAGAAAAGGAGTTTATGGAACATGCCCGGAAAGCAGGATTGGTCATTCCTCCAGAACGTTTGGAGCGTCCCATACATCTGGCCTGCACAGGTGAGGCGTGGTATTTCTGGGACCCTGCCCCAGTCCCCTTCTGTCAGAGATCTTCTGGAACTTGGAATGA